CCCCCCCCCCCCCCCCCCGGCATCACAGAGAGGAAATAAGGTGACACTGATCCCTGCTCCTATTTTTCAAGGTGACTTTTCCAATTACTTAATTCCGAGTAGAAATGTCTGGAAAAATTCATGTCTTCGATGCACTTTATAATCTTTGGAATTCTGCTAGATTTCACCCACAAAATGCATGAAATCGCAATTCAGGGACCCTAGATTTCATAATTTTCCGGACCCCGGACCCTCGCGCCAGTCGCGCGTTCGCCAGAACTTAAACGGCTCATATTTTTCGTTCTGCCTTTTTTTCTGTTTTGCCCCCCAGTGGAAATTCCTTAAAAAAGGCACTGCTCCCACCGATGATATTGATAACTACTGCGAACAATGGAAGGAAACGTTCTTAACTGCCGTGAAAAAGTACATTCCAGTAAGAACAGTACTGTTAAGGACACCAACTCTCGCCCTTGGATTGATAAAAAAGTCCGGATTCTTATCCGCAAGAAATACCGTGCATTAAAAAACTACCGAATGAATAGATCTGCAACTCGGAAGCGAAAGCTGCGATCCCATACTCAACAAACTAAGCGTCTCATTAGACGGAAACACCAAGAATATCTGGCTATAACTGAAAGTTCCTTCTCTGTCAATCTAATCCGCTCTGGAGCTACCATAAAGCTATCCTACGCCACCGAGCAAATTTGCATCACGAAATAACGTTTGACGGAGTTACTGTCAAATCTGCAAAAGATAAAGTTACACTTTTCAACGCGTACTTCTCTTCCGTATTTTGTTCACCTACCACAGGTTCAAAATCAGGTATCTGTGATCTGCTTCAACCATTATAGAAATTGAGGAGCTTTCCAATATAACACTCAATGCGGAAGAAGTTGCGCGAAGTTTGTACAATCTTGACACATCCAAAGCGTGTGGCCCCGACGGCATTCCAACTCGTCTTCTGCAAGAATGCAACATTCAAATTGCACCCAGCATTTGTGAACTATTCACTCATTCGCTGCACACCGGTAAAATCCCTTCTGAATGGAAATCTGCCAATGTTACTACGCCTATCCACAAGAAAGATCGTAAAGAACCAGTCGAAAATTATAGACCTATTTCTTTGCTTCCCATCCTTGGAAAAGTTCTGGAACGTGGCGTGTGTTTCAGACTATACGATCATGTCAAACATCTCATCACCAAATTTCAACATCGTTTCGTCGGACAACGTTCATGTGTCACTCAGCTCCTATCTGTTCTTCATACTATCGGACAATCTCTCGACAAGAACACCCAAACAGACATCGTTTACCTAGATTTTGCAAAGGCATTTGACTCCGTCGACCACAATATTCTTCTCCACAAGCTTAAACACTATGGCGTATCAGGACAGTTGTATGCATGGTTCGAAGACTATCTGAGCGGTCGTTGTCAACGAGTTGTGGTAGATGGAGTTGCATCTTCCTGGGCACCTGTAACATCTGGTGTGCCACAAAGAAGTGTCCTAGGACCTGTTCTGTTTGTGATCTTTATAAACGATCTTCCATGTATGCAGATGACACCAAAGTGTACAAATCAATTAAATCGGAAGATGACTGTCAAATTCTGCAACACACCTTGACCAGCCTTGAATATTGGAGTCATGATAACAACCTAGATTTCAACCAGTCGAAATGTAAGGTCTGACCATCGGCATCACACGAAAAAAGACTCCCCTCGTGTATGTGTCTACCACATGAATTCGAAGGAACTCTTGCGTGTGGATAAAGAGAAAGACCTTGGTGTTTGCGTCAGTGCCAACTTCAATTGGGATGTTCACATTCACACAATCACGGGTAAGGCTAACAAGATGCTCGGGCTGCATAAACGAACTTGCCCTCTTTTGAGAGACCAAACAGTACGACGAACGCTGTATCTCTCGCTTGTTAGATCTCAGCTATGTTACGCTAGTGAAGTCTGGTCTCCAGACATTGCCAAACTCAAGTCTAGAGTCGAAAGCGTCCAAAGAAGAGCCACCGCGTGGATACTACAATCCAAGCATGGCGAAATGACATATCAACAACGGCTAATGAATCTCAACCTACTCATGGGCGTACCGGAAGGAAAAAATTAGGGGGGCGGAAAAAAAATTGCCCAACTTTTCGAATTCTGCCCGACTAGTATCAAAAAAATTTTTCCGGAAAAATTATTTTGGCGACGTCCCCCCCCCCCCCCCCCGTCGCCAAAAAAATTTCGGTCAGTGTACCATTTTAGGGGTCAAAAATTTTTCCGGACAACCAATTTTTTTCGGAACATAACACAAATTTTCGAAAAATCGCAAAATTTGCCAAAAACTTGAATTAATTTTAGACAAAATTCACTTAATTTTACACAAAATTGACAGAATTTGTCCCATTTTTTTTATTTCACGCCAAAATTGCCCGACTGTTGATCGAATATTGCCCGACTGCCCAAAAAACTGGGGGGGCTACCGCCCCCCCCCCCCCCCCGCCGC